ATTTGGTACGGATTATTAGTTGAACTACTAAACCCCTGCCCTTATCAATGACAGTGATACCAATCAAAGACAAAACACAATCAAATGCAACGACAAAAGGTTTATTGAAGATAAAATGGGTGGGGTGTGGGAAGGGGATTGGGGATGAAGAAAAAGTGTGAGAGAAAATAGAAACACCATTGTTGGTGCCAGCATCAGTGATCTCCCTGTATAGTGTTGTGGTGGCAGGTGAGGCGGCTCTCATCCTTGTTGATTTCATCCTCTTTCTTGGAAGCCACTTTAGCCTGAAAAACGAAAGGTATAAAATATAGAAAACCTATTTTACAGACAGCCATTATCACTGGATATTAGCATCAAAATAGTTGATAAATGATTATGTTAAGTACAAAAGAGAATTACAGTATGAGTTCTTACTTACAGGCTTCTTGTTCTTCCCCCTGAGAGCTCTCCAGAGAGATGAGAATAATCCCCACCTCTTCTTCTTCTTGGCAGCAGCAGTTGATGAGATGTCGTTGACATCAGTAGTAGAGGTAGACATTTTCTCAGCAGACTGCTCCAGGCTGGTAGCACTAGCATCAACTTCACGTAAAGCAACATGGCTACTCTTGGTTGAACCCATAGAAACAGTGATGGTAAGTCTACTTCCCTTGGTTGACACATCAGCCACATGGACCTCAGGTTGGTTGGAGGCTCTCAGGGTGGAGTCCTCAACCTGAGACACTAGATTTGTAGCAGACTGGAAACGGTCATTCTCCACGATGGAAACACTGGTAGACAGAACCTGAGATACTAGGCCTGCAGCAGACTGGATCAGGTCATTCTCCACAATGGAAACACTGGTGGACAGAACCTGAGACACTAGGCCTGCAGCAGACTGGATCAGGTCATTCTCCACAATGGAAACACTGGTGGACAGAACCTGAGATTCTAGGCCTGCAGCAGACTGGATCAGGTCATTCTCCACAATGGAAACACTGGTGGACAGAACCTGAGATACTAGGCCTGCAGCAGACTGGATCAGGTCATTCTCCACAATGGAAACACTGGTGGACAGAACCTGAGATACTAGGCCTGCAGACGACTGGATCAGGTCATTCTCCACAATGGAAACACTGGTGGACAGAACCTGAGACACTAGGCCTGCAGCAGACTGGATCAGGTCATTCTCCGCAATGGAAACACTGGTGGACAGAACCTGAGATACTAGGCCTGCAGCAGACTGGATCAGGTCATTCTCCACAATGGAAACACTGGTGGACAGAACCTGAGACACTAGGCCTGCAGCAGACTGGATTAGGTCATTCTCCATAATGGCAACACTGGTGGACAGAACCTGAGATACTAGGCCTGCAGACGACTGGTTCAGGTTGTCTTCCTTGATGGACACACTGGTGGACAGAACCTGAGGAGTCTGCTGGAGTGTCAGTGGCTCCCACTCATCCAGGAAGAAGCTCTCGACAGAGGGGAAGCTTCTTCCTTTCAGAACTGGGGGAATGTAGGGGGTGTACCCAACAGTCCAGAGCAGAGAGCTGTTGATGGCATTCGCGTAGTGGTACTTGTCGCCAAGTATCTCTGCAAAGCTCTGACGGATGTTCTGACTCTCTGACTCTGGACCTTCAAGGGTGTTGAGTTGGGTCACCATTGAAATCCACCCTGAAAGAAACGCCATGACAGCACAGGATCAACAAAACAGATTTTTAGCATTATAAGAAAGGGAGGGATATTTTCCTTTTCACTCATGGCAAATAATGTGTGTTCCAATAATATCTCCTATTTCCTTAAAGTGTGCACTCCTTCTCTACTTCCCAGACATCTTAAACCGTTGGATTGGTGGAGGCATAGGCTAGTGGGAGTTTCAACCATATTTCTTATACCAGTCATTTCTTTTCAATTCAGTGAAGTGAACAAGTGCGCACTTTGGGAGGAAGGAGAGATAATTGAGACATTGCATATTTTACTTGGCCTAAGTAAAACCATTTACAGCTGTAAATATTCATTTTGCATGGTTACATTGCTTGGTAACTAACAACAAAAGCCTTTACAGCCATCTTATTCTAAGTTTGAAGATATTTCCTTTCTACTAAGAATTAAATCAATTAATATTTTAGTTTTAAGACTGAAATAATTAAATTATTCTTACCTGAGTTAACTGCGTTGTCCTTAATAGAATAATGTCCGTCTTCAGGGAGGATGAATGAAAAGCTTGCCATAATGCTGTATCTCTCGTTTGTCGATCAAGAACTGAAGATTTCTTGAGAGTTCTGAACATAACTCTCTGGTTCTGGAGTTCCATACGAAGCGTCGGCATTGTGACCCTCTCTGTCGCATAGAGATGGAATTCTTTATGTCCAGAATGCCATTACGCAGGGTTTCGAATGGAATTCGGTTACACTTTATTTGGATAGTCCCAAGTGGATGGTTTGTAGATGTTCAATAACTGTCAGCATTTCAACTAACTATCCACTAACCCTAAGCCTTAACCCTTAACATTAGCCCTAAACGTAACCCTTACCCTTATTCTAAACTAACCCTAACCTTGGCAAGCAGTTGCTTATCAACAGATCGTTTGTTGAAAGTATGCCCATCTGTCGATTTTTTATACGGGACTATCCAAATAAAGTGTGACCAGGAATTCTATCTCTGTTTAATAATACTACATTTATTTTATATAGCACTTTTCATTAAAGAGAATTTCAAATACGCTTTAAAAACAAAACTAATGTAGGATTCTGACATTGGCTGGTTTTGACTTGGGGGATGGTTTCCACAGCTGACGGTGTTGAGGCAGTTCAGAAAGGTAGTAGCAGCGGAGGGAGCGTCGATGGTACAGGGAGGGAGAAGCGTCAGTCGGATAGACGGGCCCGGAGCTCTTAACCGGGCACCTTCGCTGTATTCTCCTCCTCAAGTGGATCATCAACAACCGAAGGTGTAGCACATGAGAGTCACACGCTGGCCAATACCAAAATGTTAAGAATATGTCGTCCTCTGAATATTGTAATCGATTGTAGAATATCGAGTAAACTAGGGTCAACACCCTCACTGTTTATGCACTCGAAAGGGACCATGCTAAAATCATGTCCCGCGCTTTTCCTCAACTGGGAATTCGTTTTTTCTACCAAACTCTCCAGTTCAGTTCTTCTTCATTCAGTTATTTTTCACAAAATTATTTTTAAATGTTTTTTTACCATATTGCACCATCAACAGAATTCTTTCAAATATTTAGCCTACTTACAGGGAGCTCTTGTCTCCCCGTGACTATTTTCCCTCTTATGTAATACTGTAAATGTGGTGTATATAACTTGCCAGCTCTGCAAAGGATGGTTAAAGAATGATACCACCCTGACATTTGCATGTCTGTAGCCTACCCCTGGAAAAAAGAGATACATGGAGTAGACATGTTTTAAATGCAAACTTCTTTACCTTCTTAGGTGTTCTGGTAGAATTTACTTTGAATGTTGTTAATTGCAAAATCTAGAACCCAGAAGTCTAGAATCTAGAACACACATCAGACACAGTTTATCATACTTTATTTTGTAGGGGAACCACAGGTACTTTAAAAGAAGGTTATACAGAGCTGTACATAGGAGAGCAGTATTCACAGAAATGATAGCCATGTCTTCTCCCAAAGTTTAAATACTATTCTTTAATTCTCTATAATATTTTTTTATAATAATGATACAATAAAAGCTTGTGTAACTGGTCCTGCAGCTTTTTCGATATGTTGTCGATGATGTCATTGTTGTGTTACAGGGCTCATTTTTTTTTCTCCAAAAAATGAAAATTAAAAGAGTTATGATTTCTAACACATAACAGGCACAGACTGCCATCCTGCGTATGATGGTGTATGTATGATGACGCCCAATTCACTCACAAAAGAGAGACTGAAAGACAGAGGGATAGATAGACAGAAAGAGACAAAGAGAGAGAGAGATGTGCCCCGTTTGAATACTTCAGAAATGCTTCCTTCCTTGAAGTAATCACTGATCTGATTTGGTTGGGCCGGCAGAGTAATAAGACCGTCACCTTGCTTTCACCTGTCCAATCACCAATGGATCTGTGCTTACCTGAAGAAAGGATGCATCTCTTCAGTATGCGAACAGAGACAGATAAGCTTGATGTTGGAGAGTGGTCAGTAACAGTTGGAGAACGGGCATCAGTTCATAGTAAGGTTGCTGGGGGGGGTTGGATGTTGAATTTCGGACCCCCTGGTTGAGACCCCCTCTTCCGCTGCCCTGACCCCCAATCCCTGATCTTTGACCTCCAGGTGGGTCACTTCCAGAGCTGTGTGCTGAGTGTCTGACCGGAGGGTGAAGCGGCCCAGCCTCCCATGGTGGAGGCAGGCTGACCGAAGGCCATGCACCCCCCGGCACCGTTCAGACTCATCCCTGACATCTGCTGGTTCATCTGGGGAAGAAATTGAGAGACGAGTAGTAAGGTAAAGGTGTCAGGGTCAGGGAAACACAATATTGCCTAATACAAAATCAAACCCCTTACCCCAATGCATCTATATCGATCTCAGAAAATTGGATAGTTATGGCAATATGGTAACATTACCTAATTAAGTTAACTTCCAAAGATACTGATCTTGTATTCTCATTAAACCATCTTATACTTCAAATGCAAAGCTTACTCCTAGGGGAAAAACCCCAATATGCCAAAGAACGAGACAACAAAATAACTACCATACCTGTCCCATGTTCCACTGGCCCTGCTGCCCAGGCTGGACGGCATACATCCCCTGCATGCCCTGAGCGGGCACCATACCCGCGGGCATCCCCCCCTGGGGTACCCCCATCATCCTCGGAGCCATGCCAACCATCACGGCCGCAGGCGCTTGTCCCATGAAACCGCTGGGCATCGTCATGCCAACCATCATGCCTGTGTTGGGTCCCATCATGGCGGCTCCGCTCTGAGCCATCATGGCACCCATGACGGTGGTGGGGGGCATGCTCGTGCCCATGCCAGGAAAGGCCTGGTAGCCAGTGGGGACCTGCTGCTGGGGGATGCCTACTGGAAACTGCATCTGGGCGGGGTTCATGTATATACCAGCTGGAGCGGAGAAAGAGAGGAGAAATACTGAGAACAGGGTTGCACAGTTTGTCTTTCTTTCAAAATAAAACGTTCTGTTAACCTTTATGACGGCTTGCCACAGATATACTGAGAGAGTGGGAAAGTGACTGAACAACTTGGTTGGTGACTTGCTACTTTAGAAGTGTTTGGTATTTACACTATATAGCCCAGAGCCAGTTGGGGACCATTTCCAACCTCTGTGTTATTGGTTGGTGTGTGTGTGAGTGTGTGTGTGTGCATGCACTTGTGTTTGCGTGCACATGCCCAAAATGATGCATGACAGGGCGACCATTTACTGGCATATGCGCCTAAATATTTTGCTGTGCGACCTGGAATATTAATTTAGGAGCACAATGTGCGCCTGGATTTAAAAAAAATTCCCCCAGATGATAATTGTTGTAATGATTACTTCACTGTACCGAAGCCCCTGAGTGCCATGGAGAATACACTGAGCACAGATTCATTACTATAAAGAAAACGGCTTGTTAACCTCATATTTGTCATTGTGCTCCTAAATGTCTTTGTGTGCTCCTACATTTTTCAACTTAGGCGCACATGTGCTCCTTGTAAAAAAAGGTCAGTGTAGAGCCCTGCATGAGTGTACAGTATGTGCATGTGTACGCTTGTCTGTATTTCTCCTTACCAGGCGGGGCCTGCTGGTGCTGGGGCATCTGAGGCATACTGGTGTTCCCATACAGGGACAGGATGGAGTCCTTGGAAAGGTGTTTCTTGGCCCCGGTGTCCTCCCCCTTAATGCCAACTCCACCACCAGTCTCACTGAACAGGTCCAGGTCTCCCTGGGTAGAGCCTGAGGATGGGGTTGCTGCTGGGGGTTGTGTTGGGGTCAGGGACGGCTTGTTCAATAGGGCGATATGGGCGACGCACTGCCAAATGGGAAAAGGAAGGGATTTTTTTTCTAATCAATTATATCACGGCAACAGCAGTTATCAGTGTTCACGTCTGATCTGCCAGCCACTAAATGTCAAATCAGGCTAAAGTCGTGCTTCAAATGGCCCCGCCCGTTTTTTGGGCGATTTCAGTCAGGTTGAAAATCGCCCAGAAGTCTCTCATAGCCTGTCATGTAAAATCTATTTTTTTCAAATTTCAAAGCTTTCAATAGATTCTCTATGGGTGTCTGTGGGCATGCACTTACGCGCTTTCGTCATACGTGACGTAACGTTGAACGTAACTAAGACAATGGCGGCTAACAGCGTCTATGTTGCGACCTGCAGTGTGGCGTTATTTTATGTTTTTAATTTGTAGACTTAGTTTACAAACATTCTGCAAACATTCTGCTTTGGACTGATCTTCGGTTTTGGGACTGATCTTGTTGATCGTGTACATACCCGCTACGAACGGACTAAATAATGAAAACGCTGCTGGCAGCGGAATCCCAATACAGCTGGGAGACTTGGCTGGATGACAGAGTCCCGGACAGAGAGGTGGAGCCGGCCGGCTTCACCCTGGTCAGAGCGGACCGCGATCCTGGTAAGAGAGCGACTCTGTACCCCGACATTGAACTGCTTTCTGTGTCATTGAACCTTACTATTGTTGATAAAACAAGTTTACTGGAGAACGGAGACCAAGTAGAGACTTTTGGACAAGGTGGATAATTGTATAATATAAGGCAGTTTATTCAGAGGTAAAGATATCTGGAATCGCGTGCACGGACCCGTTCGTCAAACTCGTAGGGAGTTTATCAGAAGAGCCCCTAAACATTGTGTGCTGACATTTTATACAATAAAATGAAGTAGGTTGAATCTAGTAGTTCTGATCTTCTGATTGGTCCTGATGAGTTGGGCGAGGTCACCTCCAGGCTAGTGTCACTGTTGCATTGGCTCTGAGTCGGGTTCTCTGTCTTCAGATGTTCAGCCTAAGAGAAGAGGATTTGTGTGTGTGTGTGTGTGTTTGTTATCAGTGTGTGTGTGTGTGTGTGTGTGTGTGGTGTGTGTGTGTGTGTGTGTGTGTGTGTGTGTGTGTGTGTGTGTATTTGTTATCAGTGATGATGTGTGTGTGTGTGTGTGTGTGTGTGTTTATCAGTGATGATGTGTGTGTGTGTGTGTGTGTGGGTGTGTGTGTGTGTGTCCTCAGGACAAGAACTCGTGAGTTGGAAGAACTGAGAGACCTATGGCGTGGGTGTTATCCTTAGCCACCTGCTGACAAGGCTGACAAGATAGGACTCTTGTTCATTGTATTGAATACAAAGGCCCAACACAAAATGGGTCATGCACAAGATTTTAGTCAGACCAAGCTATAACATTATATATTTACTACGACAGTACATTCAACCAAAAGCTAATATAACAAAGGCATCAGAGATTATTTATAATCTGTCACAGAAACTGGAATCCATCTCCCCAGATCAGTCAATAAATGCTTCTGGTATTGACTTATATGCTGCCCCTGTCTTCATGTTGTTGCTGGACATATCTTTTTTAAAATGTGTGTAGGTCACCTAAATCATCAGAAAAATTGCCCCTCCTGAGAATTTTTTCAGGAGCCGCCACTGGTTGGGGTGCTGGCTGGGGGTACTGGAGCTAGCCTGGAAGAAGGAAGCAAAAACTGTAAGAACTACGTAAGAAAAGTCGCTAACCATATTCAGTCTCTTGATCTTCAAACTTCTCTCACGCTAACATGCACTGGCCTGCATGCATGGATGGATATATATATATATATATATATATATATATATATATATATATATATATATATATATATATATATATACAGTTGAAGTCTGAAGTTTACATACACTTAGGTTGGAGTCATTAAAACTTGTTTTTCAACCACTCCACAAATTTCTTCTTAACAAACTATAGTTTGGCAAGTAGGTTAGGACATCTACTTTGTGCCTGACACAAGTAATTTTTCCAACAATTGTTTACGGACAGATTATTTCACTTATAATTCAGTGTATCACAATTCCAGTGGGTCAGAAGTTTACATACACTAAGTGACTGTGCCTTTAAACAGCTTGGAAAATTCCAGAAAATTATGTCATGGCTTTAGAAGCTTCTTGTCACGGTTTCGGCCGAGACTGCTCCTCCTCCTGGTTCGGGCAGGCTTCGGCGGTCGTCGTCCCCGGAGTACTAGCTGCCACCGATCTATGTTTCATGTTCGTTTGGTTTTGTCTGGATGTTGTACACCTGTGTCTTGTTAGTCCTCGTTAGTGTCCTATTTAGTTTTGTTGTGTGTGCTTGTCGTTGTGTGTGATTGAGCATCTGTTTTCGTGTTTGGAGCTACATTTTCCCTCCAGTGTTTTGAGAGGGTTGTTTGCACATGTTTGTGCGTCATTTGTTTGGTCGCCTGTGTGCGTCTTGTATTTTTGCCTTCGGGCTTATGGTGCTTCTGTTGGATATATATTATATATTTTGCACTAAAGCCTTTGGACTGAGCCTCTGCGTCCTGCGCTTGATTCCTACACCACACCCACCTTCAGCACGCCCTGACACTTCTGATAGGCTAATTGACATCATTTGCGTCAACTGGAGGTGTACCTGTGGATGTATTTTCAAGGCCTACCTTCAAACTCAGTGCCTCTTTGCTTGACATCATGGGAAAATCAAAAGAAAATCAGCCAAGACCTCAGAAAAAAAATTGTAGACCTCGACAAGTCTGGATCATCCTTGGGAGCAATTTCCAAAGGCCTGAAAGTACCACGTTCATCTGTACAAACAATAGTATGCAAGTATAAACACCATGGGACCACGCAGCCGTCATACTGCTCATGAAAGAGACGCGTTCTGTCTCCTAAAGATGAACATACTTTGGTGCGAAAAGTGCAAATCAATCCCAGAACAACAGCAAAGGACCTTGTGAAGATGCTGGAGGAAACAGGTACAAAAGTATCTATATCCACAGTAAAACAAGTCCTATATCGACATAACCTGAAAGGCCGCTCAGCAAGGAAGATGCCACCGCTCCAAAACCACCATAAAAAAGCCAGACTACGGTTTGCAACTGCACATGGGGACAAATATAATACTTTTTAGAGAAATGTCCTCTGGTCTGATGAAACAAAAAATATAACTTTTTGGCCATAATGACCATCATTATGTTTGGAGGAAAAATGGGGTGGCTTGCAAGCTGAAAAACACCATCCCAACCGTGAAGCACGGGGGGTGGCAGCATCATGCTGTGGGGGTGCTTTGCTGCAGGAGGGACTGGTGCACTTCACAAAATAGATGGCATCATGAGGAAGGAAAATGATGTGGATATTTTGAAGCAATATCTCAAGACATCAGTCAGGAAGTTAAAGCTTGGTCGCAAATGGGTCTTCCAAATGGACAAACTTCCATTTGTGGCAAAATGTTGTGGCAAAATGGCTTAAGGAGAACAAAGTCAAGGTATTGGAGTGGCCATCGCAAAGCCCTGACCTCAATCCTACAGAACATGTGGACAGAACTGAAAAAGCGTGTGCGAGCAAGGAGGCCTACAAACCTGACTCAGTTACACCAGCTCCGTCAGGAGGAATGGGCCAAAATTCACCCAACTTATTGTGGGAAGCTTGTGGAAGGTTACCCGAAACGTTTGACCCAAGTTAAACAATTTAAAGGCAATGCTACCAAATACTAATTGAGTGTATGTAAACTTCTGACCCACTGGGAATGTGATGAAATAAATAAAAGCTGAAATAAATCACTCTACTACTATTCTGAAATGTCACATTCTTAAAATAAAGTGGTGATCTTAACTGACCTAAAACAGGGAATTTTACATAGGATGAAATGTCAGGAATTGTGAAAAACTGAGTTTAAATCTATTTGGCTAAGATGTAAACTTCCGACTTCAACTCTATATACTTTTTTTTCTTCCACTGGTCCTCCATGGGAAATAAACGCACAACCTTGGCGGTGCAAGCGACATGCTCTATCAACTGAGCCATCATTGAGATGTAGACATATAGGTAATATGTTGTGCATGTACAGTGAGGGAAAAAAGTATTTGATCCCCTGCTGATTTTGTACGTTTGCCCACTGACAAAGACATGACCAGTCTATAATTTTAATGGTAGGTTTATTTGAACAGTGAGAGACAGAATAACAACAACAAAAATCCAGAAAAACGCATGTCAAAAAATGGTATAAATTGATTTGCATTTCAATGAGGGAAATAAGTATTTGACCCCTCTGCAAAACATGACTTAGTACTTGGTGGCAAAACCATTGTTGGCAATCACAGAGGTCAGACGTTTCTTGTAGTTGGCCATAAGGTTTGCACACATCTCAGGAGGGATTTTGTCCCACTCCTCTTTGCAGATCTTCTCCAAGTTATTAAGGTTTCGAGGCTGACGTTTGGCAACTCGAACCTTCAGCTCCCTCCACAGATTTTCTATGGGATTAAGGTCTGGAGACTGGCTAGGCCACTCCAGGACCTTAATGTGCTTCTTCTTGAGCCACTCCTTTGTTGTCTTGGCCGTGTGTTTTTGGGTCATTGTCATTCTGGAATACCCATCCACGACCCATTTTCAATGCCCTGGCTGAGGGAAGGAGGTTCTCACCCAAGATTTGACGGTACATGGCCCCGTCCATCGTCCCTTTGATGCGGTGAAGTTGTCCTGTCCCCTTAGCAGAAAAACACCCCCCAAAGCATAATGTTTCCACCTCCATGTTTGACGGTGGGGATGGTGTTCTTGGGGTCATAGGCAGCATTCCTCTCCTCCAAACACGGCAAGTTGAGTTGATGCCAAAGAGCTCCATTTTGGTCTCATCTGACCACAACACTTTCACCCAATTCTTCTCTGAATTTTTTTTTTTTACATTTTAGTCATTTAGCAGACGCTCTTATCCAGAGCGACTTACAGTTAGTGAATACATTTTTATTTTTTTATTTTTATACTGGCCCCCCGTGGGAATCGAACCCACAACCCTGGCGTTGCAAACGCCATGCTCTATCAACTGAGCTACATCCCTGCCGGCCATTCCCTTCCCCTACCCTGGATATGGGGATATTCCCATATTAGGAATTCCTGTGGGAGATTTATACCATGAAATCCTGCAGCGCCCACAAGGTCCCCCTGCTCAAGAAAGCACATATACAGGCCCGTCTGAAGTTTGCCAATGAACATCTGAATCTCCTGAGTGGCGCAGTGGTCTAAGGCGCCGCATCGCTGGGCCAATTGTGTGCCGCCCATGAGTCTCCCGGTCGCGGCCGGCTGCGACAGAGCCTGGATTCGAACCAGGATCTCTAGTGGCACAGTTAGCACTGCGATGCGGCGCCTTAGACCACTGCGCCACTCAGGAGATTCAGATGTTCATTGGCAAACTTCAGACGGGTCTGTATATGTGCTTTCTTGAGCAGGGGGACCTTTTGGGCGCTGCAGGATTTCATGGTATAAATCTCCCACAGGAATTCCTAATATGGGAAATCCCCATATCCAACAGCTGATAAAAGCATTATGAGGGGAACCCTCCGAATTGTGATTGTACTCCATCTAGAGGCCCTGAGCGAGAATGCATGTTATTCTCCAGAAAATGTGGAGATAACTGATCGCATTAGCGTGTTACATTGTTACAAAACTGTTCACATCTTTGCACATTTATGAAGGTCACAGTTGCCCTCCTGCTTACGTCTTTGCCTCGGTTGTCTCCCTTCGGAGTTTGAAAGTTAACCAGCGATTGATTGACATGTAGTTGAACTACTAAAACCCCTGCCCTTATCAATGACAGTGATACCAATCAAAGACAAAAACACAATCAAATGCAACGACAAAAGGTTTTTAATGAAGATAAAATGGGTGGGGTGTGGGAAGGGGATTGGGGATGAAGAAAAAAATAGAAACACCATTGTTGGTGCCTGCATCAGTGATCTCCCTGTACAGTGTTGTGGGTGGCAGGTGAGGCGGCTCTCATCCTTGTTGATTTCATCCTCTTTCTTGGAAGCCCACTTTAGCCTGAAAAACGAAAGGTATAAAATATAGAAAACCTATTTTACAGACAGCCATTATCACTGGGATATTAGCATCAAAAGAGTTGATAATGATTATGTAAGTACAAAAGTGAATTACAGTATGAGTATTACTTAAGGCTTCTGTCCTTCCCCTGAGAGCTCTCCAGAGAGATGAGAATAACGCCAACACCTCTTCTTCTCTTGGCACAGCAGTTGATTGAGATGCGTGACGTCAGTAGAGAGGTAGCATTTCTCAGCAGACTGCGCCAGGGTAGCACCCCAGCTCAACTTCACGTAAGCAACAGGCTACTCTGGTTGAACCATAGAAACTGTGGATGGTAAGTCTACGTCCCCTGGTTGACACATCGCACCTTTATTGGCACTAAGGTGTTGGAGGCCGCTCAGGGTGGGTCTCATCTGAGAAATAGATTTGTAGCGGGATGGAAACCGGTCCTTCTCCACGATGGCAACATGGTAAGACAGAACTGAGCATAGGCCTGAAGCAGACTGGGATCAGGGCATTCTCCACAAGGAAACACTGGTGGACAGAACCTGAGACACTGGCCTGCAGCAGAATGGATTTAGGTCATTCTCCACAATGGAAAAACATGGTGGACAGAACCTGAGACACTAGGCCTGCAGCAGACTGGATCAGGTCATTCTCCACAATGGAAACATGGTGGACCGAACCTGAGATGACTAGGCTGCAGCAGACTGGATCAGGTCATTCTCCACAATGGAAACATGGTGGACAGAACCTGAGACACTAGGCTGCAGCAGACTCGGAATCAGGTCATTCTCCACAATGGAAAACACTGGTGGACAGAACCTGAGACACTAGGCCTGCAGCAGACTGGATTAGGTCATTCTCCCATTAATGGCAAACATGGTGGACAGAACCTGAGATACTAGGCCGCAGACGACTAGTTCAGGTTGTCTTCCTCGATGTGCAAACACTGGTGGACAGAACCTGAGGAGTCTGCTGGAGTGTCAGTGGCTCCCACTCATCCAGGAAGAGCTCTCGACAAGAGGGGAAGCTTCTTCTGCTTCAGAACTGGGGGCAATGTCGGGGTGTACCCAACAGGTCCAGAGCAGGAGAGCTGTTGATGGCATTCGCGTAGTGGTACTGTCGCCAAGTATCTCTCAGCAATGCTCTGACGGATGTCTCACTCTCGGACGCTGGACTGTGGGTACCACCCACTACATTTCCCCCAGTTCTGAGAAGAAGTTCCCCTCGTCGAGAGCTTCTTCTGGATGAGTGGGAGCCACTGACACTCCAGCGATCCTCCGGTTTTGTCCACCAGTGTTTTCCATCGAGGAAGACAAACCGAACTAGTGTCCTGCAGGTCCTAGTATCTCAGGTTTGTCCACCAGTGTTGCCATTATGGAGAATGACCTAATCCAGTTGCTGCAGGCCTAGTGTCTAGGTTCTGTTTCACCAGTGTTTCCATGTGGAGAATGACCTGATCCCAGTCTGCTGACAGGCGTAGTGTCAGGTTCTGTCCACCAGTGTTTCATTGGGAGAATGACCTGATCCAGTCTGGCTGCAGGCCTAGTTCTCAGGTTCTGTCCACGTGTTTCCATTGTGGAGAATGACCTGATCCCAGTCTGATGCAGGCTAGTGTCTCAGGTTCTGTCCACCAGGTTTCCATGTGGAGAATGACCTGATCATTGGCTGCAGGGCCTAGTGTCTCAGGGTTCTTGTCCACCAGTGTTCATTGTGGAGAATGACCTGATCCAGTTGCTGCAGGCATAGTGTCTCAGGTTCTGTCAACCAGTTTGTTTCCATCGTGGAAGAAGACCGGTTCCAGTCTGCCTACCACATCTAGTTGTTCAGATGAGGACGCCACCCTGAGAGCCTCCAACCAACTGAGGTCCAGTGGCTGATGTGTCTCAACCAAGGGAAGTAGACTTACCATCACTATTTCTAGGTTAAAACCAAGGAGCCTGTTGCTTACGGGAGTGAAGTTGATGCTAGTGCTACCGCCGTGGAGCAGTGCGGAAAATGTTACCTATCTACTTCTGTCAACGGGACATCTCATCAAACTGCTGCTGCCAAGAAGAGAAGAGGGGTGGATATTCTCATCTCTCGAGAGCTCTAGGGGAAGAACAAGAAGCCTGTAAGAATAACTAGACTGTAATCACTTTGTACTTAACATAATAATTTATCAACTATGTTGATGCTAATATCAGTGATAAGGTGTCTGTAAAATAGGTTTCGATATTTTTATACCTGTCGTTTTTCAGGTAAAGTGGCTTCCAAGAAAGCGATGAAATCACACAAGGATGAGAGACGCCTCACCTGCCCACAACAATGTACAGGGAGATATGATGCAGGGCACCAACACATGGTGTTTCTATTTTTCCTCATACCCAATCCCTCCACCACCCCACCCATTGTATCTCATGAAACCTTTTGTCGTTGCATTTGATTGTGTTTTGTCTTTTGATTGGTACACTGTTCATTGATAGGGCAGGGGTTAGTAGTTCAACTACATGGCAATCAATCGCTGGTTAACTTTCAAATCCGAAGGGAAGGATACAACCGAGGCACAGACGTAAGAGGGGGAGGGCAAATGTGACCTTCAGAAATGTGAAAGATGTGAACAGTGGTAACATATGAACAACGCTAGCGATCAGTTATCTCCACATCTTCTGGAGAATAACATGCATTCTCGCTCAGGGCCTCTAGATGGTTAGTAGCAATCACAAATTCTGAGGGGTTTCCCCTCAAATGCTTTATCAGCTGTTGATATGGGATTTTCCCATATTAGGATTTTCCTGGGGAGATTTATACATGAAATCCTGCAGCCCCAAAAGGTCCCCCTGCTCAAGAAAGCACATAACAGACCCAGTCTGAAGTTTGCCAATGAACATTGAATATCCTGAGTGGAGCAGTGGTCTAAGGCGCCGCATCGCAGTGTAACTGTTGCCCTTCACTACAGATCCTGGTTAGAATCCAGGCTCTGTCGCCCAGCCGGCCGCGACGGGAGACCATGGGCGGCACACACATTGGCCCAGGATTGCGGGCGCCCTTAGACCACGGCGCACTCAGGGATTCAGATGTTCATGGCAAACTTTAAGACGGGCCTGTCATGTGCTTTCTTGAGCAGGGGGACCTGGGGGCGCTGCAGGATTTCATGGTTTATAAATCTCACAGGAATTCCCAATAGGGAATATCCCTATTTACAGGGTAGGGGTAGGGGAGGGAATGGCGGCAGGGATTCGCTCAGTGGATATAGCGCATGGCGTTTGCAACGCCAGGGGTGTGGGTTCGATTTCCCACGGTGGGCCAGTATAAACAAAATAAAAAAATAAAAATGTATTCACTTAACTGTAAGTCGCTCTGGGATAAGAGCGTCTGCCTAACGGACTAAAATGAAAAAAAAAAATTAGAGAAGAATTGGGGTGATGAAAGTGTTGTGGTAGATGAAGACCAAATGGAGCTCTTGGCATCAACTCAACGTGCCGTGTTGGAGGAGGAGGAATGGCTGCATATGACCCCAAGAACACCATCCCCACCGTCAAAAAAACATCGGAGTGGAACATTATGATTGGGGGTGTTTTTCTGCTAAGGGGACAGGAAAACTTCACCGCAATCAAGGGACGATGACGGGGCCATGTACCGTCAAATCTTGGGTTGAGAAACTCATTCCTCGCAAGGGCATTGAAAAATGGGTAGGGGATGGGATTCCAGAATGACAAGGACCCAAAAACACGGCCAAGACAACCAAAGGAGAGTGGCTCAAGAAGAAGCACATTAAGGTCCTGGAGTGGCCTAGCCGTCTCCAGACCTTAATTCCCATAGACAAATCTGGGAGGGGTGAAGGTTGAGTTGCCAAACGTCAGCATCCGAAACCTAATAACTGGAGAAGATATGCAAAGAGGAGTGCGGACAAATCCCTCGAGAGTGGCAAAACTTATGGCCAACTACAAATAAAAGTGTGAACGCGGTGAGTTGCAACAATGGTTTTGCCACCAGTACCTAAGTCCTGTTTGCAGAGGGTCAAATACTATTTCCCTCATTGAAATGCAAATCAATTATACCGTTTTTTGAATGCGTTTTCTGGATTTGGTGTGTTGTTATTCGGTCTCTCCACTTGTTCAAATAAACCTCCCCATTAAATTATAGGACTGGTCATGTCTTGTCGTGGGCAAAAGTACAAAATCAGAGGGATCAAATTACTTTTTTACCTCACTGTACATGCACAAACATAATACCTATATGTCTACATCTCAATGATGGCTCAGTTGATAGGCATGTCGTTGCACGCCAAGGTGTGCGTTTATTTCCATGGAGGACCAGGGAAGAAAAAAAGTATATGAGTGAAGTCGGAAGTGTAACACTTAGCCAAAATAGATTTAAACGCAGTTTTCACAATTCCGGACATTTCATCCTATGGAAAATTCCTGTTTAGGCAGTTAAGATCACAATTTATTTAAGAATGTGACATTCAGAAAGTAGTAGAGTGATTTATTTAGCTTTTATGTATATTCATCACATTCCCAGTGGGTTGCGAAGTGTACATCACTCAATAGTATTTGGTAGCCAGTGCCTTTAATGTTAACTTGGGTCAAACGTGGGGTAACCTTCCACCAAGCTTCCCACATAAGTTGGTGAAATTTTGGCCCTTCCTCCCGCGGCGCTGTGTAACTGAGTCAGGTTTGATAGGCATCCTTGCCGCAAACGCTTTGTTTCAGTTCTGTCCACTGTTCTCGAGGAGTGAGGTCAGGGGGCTTTGCGATGGCACTCCAAACCTTGACTTTGGTTTCCTTAAGCATTTTGCCACAACATTCCTGCCACAAATGGAAGTTTGTCCATTTGAAGACCCATTTGCGACAAACTTAACTCCTGAATGATGTCTTGAGAATAGTGCTTCAAAATATAACTCATTTTCCTTCCTCATGATTGACATCTATTTTGTGAAGTGCACAGTCCTCCTGCGCAAAGCACCCCAAGCATGATGCTGCCACCCCGTGCTTCACGGTCGGGATGGTGTTTTTCAGCTTGCAAGGACACCCTTTTACTACAAACATAATGATGGTCATTATGGCCAAAAAGTTATATTTGTGTCATTCAGACCAGGAGGACATTCTCTAAAAGTATTATATTGTACCCATTGCAGTGCAAAACGTCGTCTGGCTTTTTATGGTGGTTTGGAGCGGTTGGAATCTTCACTGCTGAGCGGCCGTTAGGTATGTCGATATAGGACTTGTTTTACTGTGGATAGATACTTTTTTACCTGTTTCCCCAGCATCTTCAGCAAGGGTCCTTTGCTGGTTCTGGCGAGGATTGGCTGACTTTCGCACCAAAGTATGTTCATCTTTAGGAGACAGAACGCGTCTCTTTCATGAGCCAGTATGACGGCCGGGCTGGGGTCCCATTGTGTTTATACATTGCATACATGTTTGTACAGATGAACGTGGTACTTTCAGGCCTTGGAAATTGCCCTCCCAAGGATGATCCAGGACTTGTCGAGGTCTACCATTTTTTCTGAGGTCTTTGCTGAGTTTCTTTGATTTTCCATGGATGTCAAGAAAGAGCACTGAGTTGAAGGTAGGCCTTTGAATACATCCACAGGTTACACCTCCAGTTGACGCAAATGATGTCAATTAGCCTAATCAGGAAGTGCAGGGCGTGCTGAGGGGGGTGGTGTTGTAGGAATCAAGCGCAGACGCAGAGGCCCGTCCCAAAGCTTTAGTGCAAAATATAAATATATATCCAACAGAAGCACAAAGCCGAAGGCAAAAATACAAGACGCACACAGGCGGACCAAACAAATGACGCACAAACATGGGCAAACAACCTTCAAAACACTGGAGTGAAAATGTAGCTCCAAACACGAAAACAGTGTGTGTCTCATCACACACAACGGACAAGCACCACAACAAAAACTAAATAGGACACTAACGAGGACTATAACCAAGAACAGGTGTACAAATCCAGACAAAACCAAACGAACATGACCATAGATCGGTGGCAGCTAGTACTCCGGGGGACGACGGACCTCCGAAGCCTGCCCGAACCAGAGGAGGAAGCAGTCCGGGCCGAAACAGTGACAAGAGCGTCTAAGCCTGACATCATTTTATGGGAATTTCCAAGCTGTTTTAAAGGCCCACAGTCAAACGTAGGATGTAAACGTCCTGACCCACTGGAATTGTGATACACGAATTATAAGTGAAAATAATATGTTCCGTAAACAATTGTGGAAAAAATTACTTGTGCAGGCAACAAAGTAGTAGATCCTAAACCTATTGCCAAACTATAGTTTGTAAGAAGAAATTTGGGGAGGGTTGAAAAAACAAAGTTTTAATGACTCACAACCTAAGTGTATGTAAACTTCAGGACGTCAACTGTTATATATATTAAGGATATAGCGACATTATATATATAATATAATATATCTATATATAATATATATATATATCATCATGCATGCAGGAGTGCATGTTAGCGTGAGCGCATTGAAGATCAAGGAGATGCATATGGTTAGCGACCTTTTCTTACGTAGTTTTCCGTTTTGCTCCTTCTTCCAGGCTAGCTCCAGTACCCAGCAGCACCACAAGTGCGGCTCCTGAAAAAAATTCTCAGGAGGGAATTTTTTGATGATTTAGGGACTACACACATTTAAAAAAGATAGTAAAGCAAAACATTGAAGAAGGGGCACATATAAGTCAATACCAGAAGCATTATTGATGGATCTGGGGAGATGGATTCCAGTTTCTGTGACAGATTATAAATAATCTCTGATGCTTTGTATATAGCTTTTGGGAAATGTACTGTCGCTAGTAAAATATATAATGTTATAAGCTTGTCTGACCTAAAATATGTGCAGGGACCCATTTTGTGTTGGGCCTTTGTATTCAATACAATGAACAAGACGTCCTCTTGTCAGACTTGTAAAGCAGGTGGCTACGGATAAAACACCACGCACTAGGTCGCTCAGTTCTTTCCAGACCACGGAGTTCGTGCCCGGAGGACACACACACACACACCCACACACACACACACACACACATCATCACTGATATAAAAAACCAAACACAACACACACACACACCTCACATGCTAACAAAGACACACACACACACACACACAACACACACACACACACACACACACCACACACACACACACACACACAAACACTGATAACAAAACACACACACACAACAATCCCTCTTCTCTTAGGCTGAAACCATCTGAAGACAGAGAACCCGACTCAGAAGCCAATGCAAACAGTTGACATAGCCGGAGGTGACCTAGCCCACTATCAGGACCAATCAGAAGATCAGAACTAACTAGATGTCACCTAATTCAGGTTATGATAAAATGTCAGACACATGTTTAGGGGCTCTTTGATAAACCCTACGAGTTTGAAGAAACGGGTAGTGCAC